CATAAGTGTCTACGATGTCCTTGTCTCATGAAATCCGATGCTCCAATCGAAAGGTTTTCGACCCATTCGATGACTGCAAGTCGTAGGGGGAGGGGTGGGAAAGGGTAATGCAAATTAAGGAAACCGCTTTGTCGCGCCCATTGCCGCGCGCGACGAAGCGGCAATTTGCGATTCTCTTGCCCGTCTCCCCCCCCCCACCCTCCCCCTACGACTTGCAGTCATCGAATGTGTCAGAAAACTGGATCTTCATTGATTGTTGACCTGTATGTCACTTAAGCGCTTATACGATTCGAAATAGACATCAGCATAGAAGTCCGATAAGAGCGATCAATGCCTAGCAACGTGTTTTCCTGAATCTGTCTATCTGTATGTAAGATAAGGACCATTATACGTACCGACCGCAAACCTGCTGGTATTCGGTCAGTCTCACTTTTAGAACTGGTGTTTTATTCGCGGTCGGCTCGCTCCAGCTCCAACACTCACCATGGCTGGCAATGGAGAAGTGAGTGAATGCCTTTGTGGTGATGTCACAGAGTAGATCTCTAGGGATGCCTTTAGGGCAATGGACAAATGGACCTCGAAATCCCAATGGAAGAAGGAGAGCCGCTTGGAGCGACACCTAACGATAAGCTTATCATTACTAAAATACAAGGCGGTACCATTGCCGAAGGCAAACTAAAGGTATGTTCGATGCGACACTTTTGCTGATTTCATACTTGGCGACAGGCTACGGCGGGTGTGGTAATAACAAAGTCAATTAGCCTCGAAGTTGTCGTTACCGGATTGATGCTCAACTTGGTCATCAGATCATGCTCGACTCGTATTGTTGACAGACTCTGTTTGGCGGGAAGTATGGAGTGGTAAGAGAGATTTCGTACTCCCAGGAATCGCTGCTGTCATATTCCATGCACTTGGTTCAGTTTCCCAACTTTGAGGTACTTCCAGGGGTCTTCAACGGTCACGATAGCAGCGGTTCACCTGACCGCACCCGGTATCTCCCACCATAAAGTGAACATTACTTCCAAAGAGCGGCGAGCGCGGTAGAAGAAGCGTTGCAAGCGGGGTAATGTGCGCAGCATTTGCACTGGGACCAAAACCCGATGAATGTGGCAGCTCTGCGGGTGCGACTCTGTCTGTGTTTCTCGCGCCAACCAGCTAGGAATGTCTGCGATGCCGCTACTCATAAGCAGTGATGTACGAGAGATAGACAAAACAGGCGCGGTTTGTCGCGTCGTCGCGCGCGGCGTGCCGTGCAGCGATCCGCGTCAGATTCCCGATGTGCGTCAGTTTGCCGACCGGAGCATCGTATTTAATATTAATTCGAGCGGAGACAAAACTTCAAAACAGGCGATATAGAACTTTTTCGTTCGTTGAACACCAAATTTAACGGCCAGATAACCGTAATCTGCCACGTCCACCGGAGCGGCAGATTACTGTTATCTTGCCGCATACCCGCGATGTACCCGCGTATATGTTCGCATGCCGCCCTCGACGAGAGGCTTATTTACACGGTTTTCGGTTGGTGTAGGTGTTGCATGCGGCCGTGGAACATAGTACGTGGGTCGTGCAATCATTGGGCGGTGCCGTTCGAAGTAGCATCGTGTAACATACCCTCGTCATCCGGGCAGTTGATTAGGGCGGTCGTCAACGGGCCGCAGTGCGTG